TTTTAATTCTTGAGATAGATTGCGTAAAACTAATTTAAATTTGACTTTTCAAACAGGTGGCATCCCATTTCAAAATATATTCGAACTACAGCTTTTTTAAGCCTCTTGACATCCATTTTTAATACAATTTTAAAATAAATATCTCCCTAAATTACAGTTGAATTTGATTTTTCAACAGGTGGCAGCTCTCATCCATGAGTAGAGAATGATTTTATATATCTCCATACCAAGACCTAGGAATCATATCATTTTTTCAACATATATCGTGAATAACACACTAAAATATGTACTGAAGTAGACAAAGCACAAAAAATGTTCAGAAAAGTAATAAATTTTGGAATTTTTCAAAAATGTTAATATATTTTAGAATTTTAAGCATTTTAGACTAAATTTTTTCGAAAGAATTCTTTTTCCTGTTATAAATACATATTTTGAATCTGAGGATAATCGGACCATAAACACGATTTTTAGTAATAACTCGACTTAAACGCCACCTGACGGCTCTTTTTTGCAATCGTATTGCTTTTCCTATTGTCAATACATATCTCAAATATGAGGCGAATCAGACCATAAATACGGGTTTTACTAATAACTCGATTCCAGCGCCACCTAGCGGTTGTTTTAATAGTTATTCTGCTATTCGGAAGGTAGACAAATTTAAAAAAAAACAATATCATAAAAATCGGTCTAGCCGTTCTTGAGTTATAAATGGTGTAACTAACACGACTTGGTTTTATATATATAGATTTAAATATGTGCTTTATCAACAGTTTACTTCATTGCTTTTTATATAGTAATGAAATGTGTATAAATAAGCTAGTACTGTACATTAGAAATTATTACTTTGTTTAAAGATATTATAAAACACATCATGCCTGGAATCAATCGAACCCTCAATAGCGAGCATCATGGAGAGTACAACTTCGATTTCGAATTGGAGATGTTGTGCTTTGCAGACATGAAAAACCCTTATATATTTATTAAAGATGAAGGTGAGGGTTCCCGGTTACAGGTTTTGGGCCTCACAGTCAGAGCAGCCCATGCTTTTTTTTAACAAAAAATGGGATGAAGAGGATGACAATGGAAAATTTCTAACCATTTGTGGCGGGGAAATTGAGGAGTACATAATGGAGCAACATCAAAACTAACATGAATATGAAAGAAGGGGTTTAGATATTAAGACAAAATTAAAGTATTATAGTAGAACAAATAGGGAAGCGATGCATGATGTAGAAGTTTATTCTAAATCATATAATAATATTGTATTTGAATATAAATTACCAGTTAAATTGGTATTTAGAAATTTAAAATTTAATTATTTAGAACCATAGATTTAATAAAAAAACGTCAGCGTTTATTTGATTATAATATTATTTCATATGAGAGTTATTTATGAAAAAAGGTTTATTCATAAATCGTTAGTCGTTGACTTTTAGTAAGAGGAGATCGAGGGATTAATCTACTAGACACTGCTTGTAGAGAACATGATATATCATATTTATATAATAAAGATTTAGATAACCGACATATTTCTGATAAAAAATTAATTGAGAAGGCTTGGGAAAGAGTTAAAGCGAAGGATAGTAATCTTAATGAGAAAACAAATGCTTGGTTAGTTACAAATATAATGAAGACCAAAACGAAATTCGGTATGGGGAACATTTATAGTAAAACTAAGAAAGTGGGAGGAAAAACTGCGCCGTTATTCGTAGCATTAGGAGCACTTGGAAGTCTATCTGGCGGTACAACAGGAATTATTAAAACAATCCATGCTATAAAAACTGGAAAGGAGTTATTTCAATGGGAAAAGGAATGTTTTTAAAGCCATATAAAAAAGGATTCGGATTATATTTAAACCATACCAAAAAAAAACTCTTATTGAAGCTACGAAGAAGACCTCTTACTGATGTAGACTTAAAGAAGTATTCAAAATTTATTCCAAATTTTAGAGGGGTATTCATGTGTGACACTTTACGCCGTAAACCATTTAAGAGAGAATGTGGAATAACAAATTTGGATAGTTCAAAGGGCCCGGGAGCGCATTGGGTAGTTTACTGGAAAAACGATAATGAGATTGATTACTTTGATAGCTTTGGAAACTTACAGCCTCCTAAGCACATAATAATAAAGTATTTAGCAAAGCTATAATTCATATAATTGC